AGTCCGAGCGCGAGAGGGACGAGCTGTGGAAGCTGCTCAGGTGGCCACCGGGCCGGCCATAGCGCCGCCGCTCACGCCGCCGCGGTGGCTCACGACGCAATCGGCGTGGCGTCCGTGAGCTGGAGGAGGAATACCCGCTGCGGCTATCATAACTCACCGCCTCGCTGTTTTCCGAGTTGCTCCTACCACTACGCCGTGAGCGGTAGCTGGGGTAGGGACGACGCCGACGGTGATAACGCCTATTTCGTCGGTGGGTATGTCTATATGATCTATCAGGCTGCATTCGCACGCTAACCTTGCATAACTAAAACTCGTCTCTTCCCTCGCTGTTTCCCCTTGAGAGATAAACCGGATTTTGGATTTTGAAGCGTATTTTGGTAAAAATGTTTCGCTCTGATTTTTTTTTTTGCAACCCCTCTATAATTCAGTCGCTTGCGCCTTGTGTTAATGACTACTGATCTGGGATTTTTGATGCTTCATTAAATGTCAATTATAACAAAGAAATGAATAATAAAAGCTCGTAGTTTTAACACATTTTTATAACTCAGTCATTGATAATTAAATTCAGATGATAATTTTAATAGAATTAGAAAAGGAAGATTATGAGACTAATTAACACCGCTATCAATTAAACAAAAAAAAATTATGCTATGTCACAAGTTGAAACTATTCATATTTATGATCAAATTAGCTCTAAAAAAAGAAATAGATTTTTTTAACAATATCACACAAAGGGTTATTTGCCATTTTTTTGAATTTTGCGTATTATAGGCTTTCTTACTCTATGATAACACAAAAATAAAAAGTCGAATTTTAAAGAAGGCAAATAAATCAATAAGAAATAAGCCTCCTTTATTTTATAAAAATAATTGTGAAATACAAATAAATGCAAAGACTGGGGTCACGCTTATTTTTTTTTTTTAAGGCAATGTGATTAAGTCAGAAGTAATAGCACTATGCTAAATTCTGATAAATCTAAAAAAAAAACTAATGATAAAGTTCAAGTATAAAGAGAATAATAATCATAATACATGGCAACCCTAACGCAGGATTTATTTGTGACACTTTCAGCAGCGAAATCAAAAAATGGATGACACAAAACGCTTAAGTGGATGTGTTAACACACATGTCACTTATCCCACAAAGACTTATCAGGATGAAAAGGTAAAAAAAAATAAAGAATCAATATCGTTGAAATTCATTAAAATTTCCCCGAGTAGTGATCCAACCCATAAAATTTAGAGGGAGACAACATAATCCCTTAGCACATTCATCTTTGGCTTATAAACGTGCACGCCATTCAACGCATCGGAGGATGCGATCATCCACGCATCGCTTTCTTCTGGGCACCACGACAGGTCGGTGACGGCCCCTAGATGCCCAATATGCGCAAAGGCCACCTCCGGTGGGGCCATATCGTTCGCCGAGTACTCGGGCGGCAGGGAGCTTTTGTCCAGATCACAGATCACCGCCTGCCCGTCCTCGCTAAAGCTGGCCAAGATGGTCTTGCGGAAGGGCGCCCACTGGAGGCCTGTGACGGACTTGTGATGGTAGCAAATCGTCCGGAAGGCCTTGTTAGGCCAGCGGGTATCCCAGAAGTGGACCTCCCCCCCGATCCCGGCGGTCACGAGCTGGAAGATGCCGGTCGGGTGGAAC